TCCCATTGACTCTTTAATTATCAATAATAATAATCCTTGCAGACAAGACAGCACTTTATCGGGTCGTTCGAGACGACTCAAACCCCTTCACAGGATAAACCGTAATGTGGAGTGACTGTGTGTTTTGTGGGTGGAATTATTACAGGGCAATATTCGTAGATTTATTTGTGGGAAGTTCTCGAGTCCAGCTCTGCGTTCAGAACACTGCACTTCCCAGAGCTGACCTGCTGTGTTAGCGAGAATGGTCTCGCATCTAAGACCAGGTGGAATTTCAAGGCTCCCAGGCAAACTTGCTGAACCTGCGCTGGCTTGAACCTGTTGCCCTCCCTCCCTCCCTCCCTCGCTCCCATTCAGAACATATTTGTTGAGATATTTGTGCTTATCTCCCTCACTCTGCACGTAGCCAGTGTTCATGTTAAAAGGCAGGGTGTGGCCCCCAGGCTGCTGCTGCCAATTTTTAATAATAATAATAATAATCCTTGCACTTGACACAGCGCCTCATCACATCTTCGAGACGTCTCAAAGCGCTTCACAGAATATAATGTAAAGTGAATTGACTGTATATTTTGTGGGCAAAACGCGGCGGCCAATTGCTCACAGCAGCGTTCCCCACAAACAGTCGTAGATTAAAGTGACCAAATTATTTTTATTTATTTTTGGAGGAATTATTAACCCTGGGAAAAGCGTTCGGCCATTCAGCTTAACAACCAGGTTCCTTCTTGGTAAACAGAGGCATGTGTGTGGAGTAAGGAAACTTGCCTAAAATTTCACCCTGCCGGGAATCGAACCCAGGTCTCTCGCTTGTGACGTGAGTGGGGGGTGGGGGGTGGGGGGGGGGGGTAGCCCTGAGACAACCCCACGATGTTGGGTTACAATCACTGATGTGCTGTGCAGAGGCTCGGGCTGATGACTGCTGTTATTGATGCTGTGGGTATCGCTGCGTGCTGGTAAGCAGGTCACAAAACAACAATATAAGCTGTGGGGGAAGAGAAGGTTCTAGAAAAGCTGCAAAACAGGTCTAAAGTGCTCAGGGATTGAGCGGCTGAGAGTTTGGTGTATGTAGGTCAGTGACATGGATCAGATGTGCTCTCGTGTAATAGGAGCTGAGCTCCACGTCGGGATTACGTAAGTGGGTCAGTGAGTGAGTTACAAACACAGTGTCCGCATTAGCTGTAGTCAGTCCATTGCACTCGCACTCGGATTCATACCGGGGTACCTGACACGCACGGAAACCCATCAGTGTGATCAGCCAATGTCTGGCACACGTGGAAACCCATCACTGTGCTTAAGAGGCTCCAAACCAGACCCGAGTGCCAGGTTCGCACCGACACTTGGGAGTCTGGAATGGAATGCGTGCACTCTCTCTCTCTTTGTCTCTGTCACTCTCTCCCAGGGGCACGCACTCTGCTTACCTACCATTTAGACGTCCTCCCGACGTGAAAAGCGCTATATCAAATGCAAGGATTATTATTATTATTAGGGTTAGAGAGTATCAGATGCAGGTTGGTGAGAGACGAGGCTTGGAAACCCCTGTGTGTGTGTGTGTGTTGGAGCTAAACCTGGAGTCCTGTAACTCAGTGGTTGGAGTCCTGTAGCTCAGTAGTTAGAGCACTCGCTTTGCAAGTGAGAGACCTGAGTTCAATCCCCGGGGGGTCAGTCAGGGCCAAACCTCGGGCAAGTTTCCTTACTCCACACAGAGCCTAATAATAATCCTCCAAAACCCAAAACAATAATAAATTGGTCATTTTCAATCTACGACTGTTTGTGGGACATTGCTGTGCGCAATTGGCTGCCGCGTTCGCCCACAAATATACAGTCAATTCACTTTACAGTGTCTTCTGTGAAGCGCTTTGGGACGTCCTCCCGACGTGAAAAGCGCTATATCAAATGCAAGGATTATTATTATTATTAAACCACAACGTTTTTTCCCCATTGAGGGCGGTGTCTGGCAAGCTTCCTGCTGCTTGTCCAGTTAGGACCATCCTACATGTTGGGGCTTTGGATTGCAGGGTTAACACGAGCCCAATGGGAAGAGTCCCTGTATCCAGTGTTTGGTTTGAGCCAGGTTTGAAGTCACACTGGGGACTTGAGATGATGTTTCCATCAGATGAGGTTTAGGCTGAGGCTCTTGGTTTGGGAAGGAAGCTTTTGTTTCATAAACACAATCGTGAACATTCGTCACTTGACATTTAGTTACATAACGGTGTGTAACGTGTTATATAAGGCATGATTCATGGAGCTGGAGCTGAACTCAGTTGAGGATAAAGTCAGTAACAAACCCAGCCTCTCACTTGGCTGTCCGTCCATCACTCTGACCCGAGCCACAAACTACTTAACCCCAACAGTTACAGCACCGAGCGGAGCCTTGCATACGCTGTGGCTGAGAGACGCTGAGATTGACGGAGCCTGAGAGTGATCAAGGAGATAGCTGGCAAGGAACCTGTTCACCCCAGCACTCCTGCCTCTGACAGACACTGAGATTTCCACAGACACTGAGAGGCATGACACCACCCAACAACATGAACTCAATGACACGGCAATACAAACCCAGTGACACTGAAACGTGAACCCAGTCACACGGGTGCTGTAACAACTCGCGATGTGATGGGGGCAAGGAGTCTGCGATCAGAGATAACCTCACGCTCCAGCACTGGTACCTTCCTCCTTTACAGGAAGGGCTGACTCAACAATATCAGCAGCACATTACATTTACACAGGGCCGGGAGGTGTCAGGAGGACGTCCCAAGGAGCTGAACAATCAGGGATCTGCACCTGAGCTGGTGGTTGGGATCAGGAGGGGTGGAGTGTAGGGGGTAGGAGAGTGACTGAAGGCGCGGTCAAAGAGGAGGGTCTTGAGGTAGGTCTTTAAAGGAGGCAAGGGAGGGGCGAGGTGGCGGGACTGTGGGATGGGGTTCCAGAGGGTGGGGGGCAGGAACTCTAGCTGATGCCGCACTCCCCCCCCCCACCCTCTCCCCGATTGCTGAGACCGTGTCTGTGTCGCTGCTGCAGATTAGCTGCGGGAACGGGCTGAATGGGCTGAATGGTCTCCTCCTGTTCCTGTTTTCCCGATGACCACCCGGAGAGTGGAGCTAACGCGGGGGAACCATTGGGCTGAGGGCACGGAGGGTGACGCTGGTGCAATGCTGCCACCTGGTGGTACATTTAATTATCTGCACCTTTGACGGACGCTTTCTCACTCTTTTCAGGGATTGACCGGAAAGTCCAGAACAGTGTTAAAAACCCCACAACATCATTGGAAGAGTGACGGGAGTCTCTCCGTGTTGTCCCACTACACAGTCACTACACTCCGCATAGCAAAAACCTCCATGAAAGGCTTTGGGGGAATTTTAGACCCGTTAGGATCCCATGAAACTGTAATCTCCCCGTATTATTTATTATTTCTCTCTCTCTGCCGTTCTCCTACCCCCTTCCTCCCTGCCCTCCACACCTGGTCCCAACCCCCAGCTTGGGTGCAAATCCATGACTGTCCAGCTCGGGACGTCCTCCCGATGTGAAAGCCGCTGTGTAAATGCAATTTGTTGTTGTTGTTGTTGTCGGGTAGATGGTATATTGAGAGCTTTTGGTTTACGATATCCTCGGCAAATTGATGAAGATGGGTGTCCAACGATATGTTTGACTTTGAGCTCCAGCCCTTGGAGGTACTGCTCTGTTACATACACCAGGGGGCACTCCAGTTCATTAACAAGATTGGGGTAAGAAAGGCCTTTGGTTCCATCTGATCTCCTCTCCCCAGAACACCGCGACCCTCCTCTATCTTCAATCTTCTCTCTCTATCACATCTTCAAGGCTGAGGTGAATAGCTATTTGTTAGGTCAGGGTATTAAGGGATACGGGGCAAAGGCTACTTCCTCAAGACTAGTTACCCCTTTCTCCCACCCTCCACCCACTGCCATCCTTTTCCGCCCTAAGCTAACTAACTCCTGTGAGAGATGAGATTGGCTGATGTCTTGAATTGGACTTGAGGTACAGATCAGCCATGATCTTACAGAATGCCGGAACAGGCTCGAGGGGCTGAATGGCCTTCCCCTGTTTCTGTGGTTCTAAACAACAGCTGGAAGCTGTGTTGAAATGAGTCCCATAGTCCCCGCTGTTAACCTTTTCCACTCATTCCCTGCTGTTAGCAGCTGGTTACCCCCTAGGGAAGGAGTGTGTGTCTCACCCATAGGTCGGGGAAAAGCCACTTCCCCAAGACCAGTTACCCCTATTCTCCCATCCACTGCCATCCTTTTCTGCCCTAAGCCTAACTCCTGTGAGAGATGAGATTGGCTGATGGTGCCGGGTGTAAACGCCTCTTTTCATCACAACATTTGATATAGTGAAACTCAGAGAGCATTTGCTCTCAAGTGTAGTGACTGTTTAATTGTTGGCCAATGTTCACTCACGCTCTGTGTTGAGTTTTCAGAGAGGTTGGTCTCGCAGGCTGAGACTGGGAGGAATTTCAGGTCTCGGGGCCTCTCCGGCCAGCAGTGCGAAGCTTTGAGGCGTGACAGCGCAGTATAGATGGAAAGGGAGTTTGTGCTAATAGCTCCTAACATTTTATTGCTGTGCAGCAAAGTGAGGCTGAGAGGCTGTGAGGAAGGAGGCACGAGCGGATTATCAATAGGTGAGAGAAGCGATCGGGCAGTTAGTCAGGCAATCAGTAATAATAATCCTTGCAACTGATACAGCGCCTTATCACGTCTTCAAGATATCTCAAAGCGCTTCACAGAAAACACTATAAAGTGAATTGAATGTATATTTTGTGGGCGAAACGCAGCAGCCAATTGTGCACAGCGGCGTCCCCACAAACAGTTGTGGATTGAAGTGACCAATTCACTTTATTATTTTTTAAAGGAACTATTACGGGCTGAGATCAGTGAGTTTTTATTTACCCCTTTAATAATAATAATGATAATAAAGAGCGGAGCCAGTGAACGATGCTTTATCACCCCACTGACTCCCAATACAATGCAGCAGGAGGACAAGGAGAAGGCTGGATAGCCTGATATAGTGGTTTATTAGATCACATCGGATCATTTCATCTTCCCGTCTTTTTTTCCCACATTCCTCTCCGTCTTGGCAGGAAGGGTGAGACCGAACCCACATAAAGCTTCCGTTAATTCACCAAAAAGTTGTTCACACCGTCCGATGAGGGCTCTGGGACGCTCCCCTGCGTGAGGAGGCGCTATATAAAAGCACGTTGTTGTTGACACTGGCCGGAGAGAAAGGTCCCAGTGGCTCGCTTCGCCCGCGGCCTAGGAAACTTTGTTTTGGGACGGCGTGGAATGAGGATGTGACAGCCCTCGGACCGACCACACTGGGGTGGGGGGGGAATTGTGATCGTGTTACACCACTGAGGTCCTCAGTCACTAGCGAAGCCCTTGAACCACAAAAGTGATGATGAAAATGGAGGAGGAAGAGGGTGGTGGTGGTCCCCGAGGTGCGAGGGGGCTCCACGGTGGTCTCTCTGCTTTGTGGCCAGGGCTACGTGTGTCGCTTCATGTGCAGGGCCAGGTGGTCGGAGCGGGAGAAGGCGCGATCACACAGGTGGCACTGGAACGGTCGGTGGCCCGTGTGCTTCCGGAAATGCCGGGTCAGTTCATCGGAGCGAGCGAACTTCCAGCCGCAGCCCTCCCAGGTGCAGTGATACGGCTTCTCACCTGGAATGCAAAGACAGGCGGTCAGTCAGGCTGTCAGATGGTAGTGGGTCAAGCGGTCGGTTAGTCAGTGGCCAGAGAGGCAGTCAGTCAGTCAATGGGTCAGTTAGCTGGTACCTAAACATTGTACAGCATCTCTTCAACCACATTGTTCTTCTGCACAATCTTCCATTATAATACACAACTGACCGAGACTGGGTGATACTAACAGTGACAGTGTACGTTGGTGTGTGTGTCCGAGACAGTGTGTGTGACAGTGTGTCAGTGGGTGATCCCCTCTATGGTGAACGGTGATCTTACCGGTGTGAGTGCGATGATGGGCTTTCAAGTGGGAGCTTTTGGTGTAGATTTTTCCACAGCCGGGATACAGGCAGGAGTGGCTTGCCACGCGCTTCTTCACCCAGGATTTCCTGCTTCTCCGGGATTTGACGGGCTCCGGCACGGTGTTGGGCGGTAACAAGCCTACCAGAGGCTCTAGCCCCACATCATGGCCGGGCTTCAGGCTGCAGAGATGGAACTCGCCCTGGTAATTACGTGGAGGCTGGTAGTAGCTGGGGTATTGGGCCAATAGCTGGTAATTGAGGTGTGGCTGGAGTTGTTGCTGTTGAGGTTGATGATGACAGTAATGTGGGGCAACCTGGAAGTGAGGGAGCTGATGGCTTCTCAGTTGGCCGCTGGGATCTCGTAGGGGAGGCTGAGGGGGGTACAGAGCTCTGTCCAGCGCACCCTGGGGTCTCGGCTCTAACAACGGCTTGTGTCCCCCAGCCTTGGCTGAGGGGGTGGCGGGAACCAGGCCACGCTGCGTCCGAAGCTGGGGGTGAGGCCGGGCTGGGGGGTTTTGTGGAGAAGGCCCCAATCTCTCCACGGCTCCCAGGTTGGTGTAAGTCTTGCTTTGAGGAGCCCCGAAGGCGGGCAGGCTGACGGCTCCCAGGGGAGAGGCAGGAATGTCCGAGGATAAGAGCTCGGCCACGAGGCTGATGCCGGTTGCCGGGGACGTCTCCACTCCTCGGAGGCTTGAGGTACTCTGTGGCTGCGGTCCTTGGGGGTCGCCACCAGAGGAGGGTAGGTGGCAGGCACGGTCACGCTGACGCTGCTCTCCGCGGGAGCCAAGTCTGACAGGAGAAAGTCCAAGTCCAGGTAAGAGCAGAGATCATCTTCCTCCCGTTTGACCGGCTGGGGCGCGGAGTTTGGGGGGGGTCCTATGATCCGGGCCTCCTCGTTCAGCTTCTCCGAGCCTCGGTCACCTTCCCACCACTGCAAGACACGGGACCAAGTCAGTTATTGTTCCCTCAGAACAGTCACTCAGAACAGACGGAGTCATCCCACTCAGCTCCTGCTAACCCCCACCTCAAGCCAAAGCCCTACGGGTCGGGTGGTCCTAGCTGGACAAGCAGCGGGAAAGCTTGCCGGACGGGGCTCTCAATGGCAAGCTATGCAGTTTTGTAAACAATAATAATATAATAATAATCCTTGCATTTGATACAGCGCCTTATCATGTATTCGAGACGTCTCAAAGCGCTCACAGAATACACTGTAGAGTGAATTGACTATATTTTGTGAGCGAAACACAGCAGCTAGTTGCGCACAGCAGTCGTGGATTGAGTGATCAATTTATTATTTTTAGCTGGTTACACCCCAGCAGTTACGCACATTCTGGGCTCTCTTTCCCCTCCCCCCCCCACTTCCCCACCACCCCAAGCCTTGGCTTTTGCCAACCTGTGCCTAATATTCTCTGAATTAGGTAAGCAGGGTGTCTTCCACCAGGGGAGAGAGCAAGAGAGTTTGCGTTGCAATCCAACAATCTTATCTCTGGGATTTCCATGTGTAGGTGGTATGCCTGGAAATCTCAGTTGGAGACTCTTAAACAGGGTGATGGGTTTCTGCGTGTGTCAAGACACCTAAAAAATTATTCCCAAGATTGGTGGTGAGACGTGACTTTGCTAACATGGCTGCTTCGTGCTCCATTGGCAGCCATGTCCTGTCTTCAAATAATATTTTAGGAAACCATATCTTGGGATATTGCCAGTTGGGTGGAAGGTGAACTGGATGGACTTTAGTTTTCTTACATCCTGCAAATTCTTATGTTCTTGTGTAAAATCCCACCTGGAGACCTAATTCTTTGGCCGCACCTCACAAAGCTGGGAGAGGGGAAGGTAGTCACTGGGTTGGTGTGTAATTAGGCAACACTGAGCGAGGGCGGTACTGATCTGGGATTGAGCATCACTGGCATGGAGACAAGGCTGGAGGCGAAACTGAAAGCTCCACCTTTACTGGAATGTCTCTCGTAATTCATGCGTGCCTACTACAGTTAAGACATGTCCATATATTGTATGCATTGTGTGTGCTCTACGTGTCTCCCCCACCAGTTTCTGTAAACTGCCCAAGTTGGGGGGGGGGGGGAGAGAGGGAGGCGGGGGGCGGTATTGAGTCCCCAGAGGAGGGGCGGGGGGCTGTATTGAATCCCCAGTTCCCAGGTGTCACAGCCTGAGAGAGGAGTAATTGAGGGAGAGCCTGGTGTCAGCAGATGGGAGCTCAGTTTGACACCTCATCTATACTTTGGTGCCTTGTTCAGTACGATACTCCTAGCCCCCTGACCCCAACCCCAACACAATACTCACTGGAGCATCAGTCTAGACTGTGAGCTCATAGTCTCTGCCCCACAACCTTCTGAGCCAGAGATGGACCTTGACCTCCCTCGGATTGATGGTTGACAGCCCAGGACACTAAACCAGGCCAGACACACACCTGTTGCAGTCTCCTCTCAGACACCTGCTGAAGGTCTGGGTAATCTAGTTAGCACTTGGTTTTGTTGATTCTAGTGGAAGAATCCAGTAGTGCAGGAACGAGGAAGAGAAAGTGTAAGGCTGGGGGTGGGGTGGAGTTTATGAGGAGGAACAAGAGATACAAGATTCAGAGTAAGCAAGAAACGAGACAAATAGAGGATGAGGGGGAGAAAGAGAGAGAGATCAGCTCTCTACAGCCACCCTCTCCTTGCCCAGGAGAGCGAGAGAGAGATCCCCTTCTCCCCCCCCCCCCCCCCAATATGGGAGCAATGGACAAATCTTGAGAGAGAGAGAGAGGACACACAGACTACCATCCTGTCCTCAAGGTTGGTGCCCTGTCCGAGTGGAATAATATATCGAGAGATGTTTTTTCCACCTTCCTCTGTTACAAGTTGCTAATTCACTCTGCTTTGACTGTTACTGTGAGGAACAGCATCAGTTGGAACCTTAAAGGCTTGGCATTGAGCCACACTCACGTGAAACTACAGTGTGTGTGTATATATATATATATATATACATTCAACAGAGAGTGTGGGCAACACTCACCATCCCAGTGCACAGGGAACATGCCAATAAATAGAGAGAAATGCTCAACATCCAGAGAGAGCAACCGTCAACCATCCAACTACATCCAACTGAGACGTGACAACATCTGGTCGCTCAATCCGCAGTTGTCTGTCTGTGGGACGCTGCTGTGCGCAATTGGCTGCCACGTTTCTCCCACAAAAACACACGGTCACTCCACTTTACAGTATATCCCGTGAAGCGCTTTGAGGCGTCTCAGTGACGTGACAAGGTGCTATATCAAATGCTAGGATCATTAGTATTATTATTATTATCCAATACACGGAGAGCGCCACACCAGATGGATATTTAATCCTAGGCATGGTGACCGGTGTTACAAGGAAACATGATGTACTTTACAGCAATTGATGGGAGTTGGAACCATGAAGCTATTTACAACTGACCTGGAATCAAGCTTATCTGACGCCCACACCCTGCGAGTTCACTCTGGGGCCCCAGATAACAAACGGGAGCTATATCATTGGCTCCCTGGCTCAGGAGCACTCAGGCCATCTCAGCGCTTTAATACCAAGTAACTCAACAAGGGTCAGGAATCAGACCCGAACAGGGCTGGTTAGTTAGAACACACAGTCAACCCACTGCCTTTCACATCCCTCCAAGACCAAAAAAAATCAATAATAAATTGGTCATTTTCAATCTACGACACTTTGTGGGACATTGCTGTGCGCAATTGGCTGCCGCGTTCGCCCACAAATATACAGTCAATTCACTTTACAATGTGTTCTGTGAAGCGCTTTGGGACGTCCTCCCGACGTGAAAAGCGCTATATCAAATGCAAGGATTATTATTATTATCAAGACATGAATCTGTCTTTATGTGAGTGCTGCCCATATAAATATAAGTTCAACCTCTTCCGCATCTCAATCACGTATTTAATGGGTTGCTTATAAATGCTTTTTTTGCTTATAAAATAAAGCTATTTAAAACAAAACTAAATTAATTTCTATTAATTGCTGTCAACATCCCTGTTATTGTAGCATACGACCGACTACCAAGATGGTAGGTAATAGTAATAATAATAATAATAAGCCTTGCAGTTGATTCAGCCCCTTATCACGTCTTTGAGACGTCTCAAAGTGTTTCACAGGTAGAAGGCAAACTAGATGGACCTCGGACTCGGTCTAGCAATCCCGATGTTTCAATAAACTGTTGTTGTTGTAGATTGGTCAGTAAGTCCTAAGACAAGTGTCTCCCCCACAGTGGCACTGGCAGCCTCTCTGTCTCAAGTGTCCCCCAAGTTATTGTGGGGTGAGTGAGTCCTCACGATGGGGATGGGGGAGGTAATTGGCCCCAGTCCCATTCGGTCTCTTCCCCCAACCCACACACACCTCCACCTCTTCCTCCCCCACCCCAGCACCTGTCACTGGGCATCAGTGGCCAGTCAGTGATGAGGTAGCCCAGGGCCACTGAGGCCAGCTGGGGGACCTGACCCCACCCCACCTGACCACTGCTGCTTCAGCTCAGGCTCATTGAGCCAACTTGACGTCCAGGGATTGATTGGGGGGCGAGGGGTCACTTCCATGTGTCCCGGTAAGAGAGGTCTGACCTGCAGGAGGTAAGTGAAGCTCTGGTAATAACACACACACACACAGTCAGACACATTGAGCTGAATCCAATAAAAAACCAATTCACGATTAGCGATGAGTATTTCAGCGCTGGAGAGGGAAGGAGCATCGTCAGTATTATCACTATTATGGTAACAACGCCATTGCCTACCGAGCTGACAGCTCTCTCGCTCTCCTCCTTTACCTTAATGATCTCGTCCTGTTTCTCTTGGAAGTTGCTGGAGTTTGAGAATGACCCGATCGGTGGTAGGACAGTCTGTGCCAGAGCCATGGTGGGGGGATGCTCCTCAAGGCTGTGGGTGGGCTGTGGTGGTGCCCAGCGCCAAGGGTTGGACACTCAATGCTCAACCATTTGTGTGTGTGTCTCTCTCTCTCTCTTTCACTCTCTCTCTCTCTCTCTCTCCTGTGTGTGTTTGGGGCGTGTGTATGTGTGTGACTGTGTGTTAACTCTGATAACTATTCATAACTACTTAATTGCAACAACCATATCTGTCACCCGCCCAACACAGCCCCTCCCAGCCCTGCTCTCCACTCTCTTCTCAGAAAGAATATTCCAAGAACGATTTGCGTTCAGAGATGTCCCCGCACTACCCTTTGCCCCCCCCCCCCCCCCCACCCCAACCACCTCCCCGCCGCCGCTCCACTCAGGTTAGCGCCCCAGAGCGCTTGAGAGTAGCCAGAGCACGATACAGTAGGCAAGGTCCAAGGGGAAGGTCTACTCGGGCGCGACCAGGAAGGAAGTGGGTGGTGGGGGGGGTGTGAGGCGGAGGGAGGGATGGAGGAACAGTGAAGTGGGGGTTACGTAGTAGTGGTTGAAAGCGCAGCTGCCGATGATGGAGCGGAGGGCAATGGCGGGCGCGCAGGAGACCGGAGCCAGTCTCTCGCGGTCTCTTGTTTCTCCTCAATGCGCTCTTCCATTGTTGCGCTTTATTTCTCTCTCTCTCTCGCGCTCTCTCTGTGCTCTGCACCTGTCACTTTTAACACAATGACAAAATAAATTGATGAATTGTCAAATCTTTAATTCCAGGTAAAGAGAATATGAGGAGGTGGATTTCTGGGTTTGTTCCCTGGGGACAAAAGAGGGTGTGAGTCACAGCCCAACCCAGCGCCACAGCCCCAACCTGTGCCTTCAGCCCCTATGAGCCCAAACTCTGGAACTCTTTCCCTCAATCCCTCCATCCGCCTCGCCCCCTCCCTCCCCATCTTCAAATCCCACC